TTGTCCAGCTTGTTTCAAACGCCAGTGTCACTACCTGACGGAGAAAATTCCTCATAGATGGGTCAGTCGACACAACCAGGACGATTACTGGGTCCTTGTTCGACCCATCCATCACACCAATGACATCGCTTAAGTCTGAAAAAATTTGCCTCTTCGCTAGTCATAATTTGGAGACTTCCACCTTACGCTGGTAGAGTAGTGCTAATACCCTTGCCTCGCACGTCAGATGCCCTGAGTTGAACCTCCGGATAGGAACTGCTGATAAGCTCACCAAGGGCGATGATAGCACTGATGAAAATAACTGCACCATGGCAGGCGAATGACTGCTCAAGCAAGAATGACTTGAATATGAATTTAACAAATCCCGCAACCACCTACATTTATTATTCTTTGAGTGCGAGACGCCGTACGGTTTGAGATTTTAATCATTTTGCTTCGAAGAAATTCGGATAGGAACTGCTGATAAGCTCACCAAGGGCGATGATAGCACTGATGAAAATAACTGCACCATGGCAGGCGAATGACTGCTCAAGCAAGAATGACTTGAATATGAATTCTACAAATCCCGCAACCACCTACATTTATTATTCTTTGAGTGCGAGACGCCGTACGGTTTGAGATTTTAATCATTTTGCTTCTGAAGAAATTCACCCATGGTGATCGAAACGACCAGCAGAAAAGCTGCACTTTTTAGTTGTGCTATTCCACCGGTGTTTAACCAAAAGGAAATAGGAAAACTATTCACAAGGTTGCTGAAACTTTTCGACAGCCCACGACCGGTTTCGCCTTTTTTGGGACTCATCAGGTAGGCGCAGTCCCTGAGTTTCTGTCAACCTTATGTTCTACTTGAGCCCAAATTGGACTGTTTTCGAGAATACACTCATTTTGATTTGCAAATGAGTGTACTTCTCAGAAATAGAACAACGTTGGAGCTACTAGTGATCAATACAAAATTTCATGCTAGTTTTTCATCTCAAATGCAGTCAAAACATTATGTCCAGTACACTGTAGACTTCATTTTCTCAATGTATAAGCAACATTGCAGTCGAACTAGACAATCCGCAGACTACCGCCACTGGACATGTGAAAACCTACTATTGATTACGAAAAACGTTACTTATTGATTAAATACAGCTAAATCCTGTACACACTCTTCATAATTTTGAATCCTACTGAACTAATTAGGATAAGGACATTTACTAGGAGATTGGAAAAACTGAACACGTGATAGGAAGCGAGCATTCTAATCTTAAAATAAAACCAGCGACTCTAGTGTCGGGTTTACGGAAATTCACTTTACTACGAATTGTGCCAGTGACTGCGTGACCTCCGAAAAATCAGACAGTGAAATCGAAGTAGCAAGCACAGATACCTCATTCAGGGATCATCTGTTCCTCTGTGTGAGATATAATACCATAATGTACGCGCATATATTATATGTGACAATATATATAATATAATAATATAATGTAAAGTTTATTCAAAGTAAAAGTAAAAGTGAACGTTCTAACTCGTACAATGGAAACATTTTCTATGGTAAATGAGATGTAGTGGATGTGAGGATAAAAAATATTACATGGAAAATGAATGAAACAAAGTTCCTTATTCCGCACTTTTCATCTTCTAAGGTCAGTTTGTCATCACTGATAAGCAATAGATATCAAACCAGGGTTCACATCTTTGCGAGCACTGCAAGCCGAAACGAAATTTTAGAACCCTGAATCACATATTACCCAACCAGCCAAAAACCAATGTGTGATTATCGATTTCCAACTAGCTTGCATCCGTATCGATCAGGAAAAACATGCGTATGTCAGCCTAGAAACGCAATGCCATGATGTCAGCGTAAACGAGATCATCCTGTCCGAATACTGCTAACCAAAACAAAAATAATGGCGATAACCGAGAAGTTTGACTAGAAGCAAACGAAGGACATGATAAACGTTATCTGCATCTCATGAGACTGACCAGCGTAAAACTACCCTCAGCTATTTGCCAAGGCAACTGACATAAGTAATGAAACAAGTTATTTGTCGACGGTTTTCCAAAGGTCAGTATTTTGACCAAAATTTTAATAATTGTTACGCAGGCTTTTTCCCGTTATGCTAATGATAGGTTTCAAAACGTCGCGTATATGGCACACCGCGATATCGCGCGGGAAAGGAACAAATCGAAATTGCCTTCTTTCCTGTGAATCTGTTGGTGTGAAAAACATTATTGGCAAGTTTGTCACAGCTGCTTGTGTCCAAATCTGTTTGAGCTCTTGGAATGGGAAGTAGTGGCCTGTATTACAATGAATCAAATTTTCAAGTACGACCTAAAGGCAGGTTAAAGGTCTTGATATTTTTTATTCCCCAAGCCTAGACAGGAGTGATGGAAAGCCGGTTCTTTGTTCGGACCATGTAGATTTTTTGTAAGAGTATTCTCTTCACCGCCAGAATTACCTTTCGCTTAGGAACCCAGATGTTCCCATACTTCATGCATTCCGAACCTGTAGCTCTTCATGAGTGAACGTAGTTGAAATTAATTCCCGAATCGCTGTTTAACCATAACCAAACAAAACCGTGAATTGGTGTTTTGTAGCCGTAGTAAAAGAGGTTTACTTACGTTAGTCATAAGGTAACTCTGTGTTTAGTTTTACTCTGAATTATTGTATTCAGTACACTGATAAAACAAACTATTCCTCTTCCGTTTGTTCAACAGGTCAGAGCTTCAACGGCAAGGATAATTTCAGCTGTGATTCACTATTAAGGAAGCTGCCTGGGAAAGGCTTCCGTCATCACAGTAGAACAGCTTAAAGTTGAGCTGCTCAATGTCAGTTCTGTTCGTTTTTGATGAAAACGTTGCGGGGTGACCTAAAATGCAGCTTTCATAAGGCTGATAACAAGTTTTTGACAGTCCAGTAATAGATTTTTCAATCTGGGATTGAAGTCTAACCAGTCCAGAAAGGGGAGTCCACCTCGACTTGCTGAGTCTCCGATGTTGTCGCATAAAAATGGCGTGCTTTCTGTGTTTGTTTCTTGAAACTGTTCTCTCTTAAATAAATATACATATATATATGTATATTGAAGCTGGAATATAATCCAAAACCTACCTACTGAAATCTGTAAAAGCCCTGGGAGAATATCATCAGGCTGCAGAAAGAACATCCATAACTTAGGATGTGTGTTCAACCACGTTATGCATGAGTGATCTATGTTGAAGACTAAAACCTATGACGTGGCTGTGAAGGCTGTGAATGATATCCAGAGTTTGTTGGTCGGGTCCATCTCCCACACTGAGAGGCCATGACCCCTTGAGCTTGACTGGAGACATTGCAAGAAATGGCGGCTGATCAGTGTTCGCTACGTTTGCGCTGTTATTTTCTTCTCAGCTTGTCTGAGTAGGCACCTCAGAATGATTGTGACAGGCTAGCACCGTCTCCCCTTAATATGCTGGTTTCTCTATCGTTGGGTATTACATATATAAAGTGTCGAAAATACTAATAAAATCGTGTGTAATGTGGAAAAAATTGGCAGCAGTTGGATCACTGGATCCGGCGTTCGATATTGTGACTAAATTTTTGACCATCAGTTAGGCGGAGCAGTTTTCAGCTATTGTGCCATATACAACATGTACCGCACCCGCTATAGATCATATAAGACTTTATTATATTAGAGCAGTAGTTAGACACTGAATGGCCGACAGTGAGTTGTGCTGGGAGAGTGTATTAGAGCACAGGTTCATGCATGCTCTCCAAAGATACCCAGCCAATTTAAAGTTGAACCATAGTGGTCGAGTGAAATAAAACCCACTAAGATTTTTCTCTATAGGCTGTAAAGTCAAACGACTAAGTGGATTGTGCTATGATCCCACAGGGAAACCCGTTTCCAACTGCATGTTGTTCAAAATGACTCCAAAAAAACATAAGTGACAATAACAAACTTGATGTGTTTAGAGAGTATGATAAGACCGAAACTGCTTAAAGATAATGAGCTCAGTCGTTTCTGTTTAAATTGAAATATTTCATTGGTTCAACTTGGATGTCATCACAAGAGGTATACAACCCTATGATGACGTGTCAAATCTTTGTTCCAAAATTAGGATGGTTGCAACGGCAGGCACAAGTAAACATCAAACGAGTCATTCGCTTAGATGAATCTCCACTGATGTTGATGTTTTCCGTTATTAGCAACCCAATTTTCAAATGAGCCTTTGTCCTCGCATACTTACAACTTGGTCCTCGGGTACAAAGCGTTTCAGCGTAGGTGACAAGCCAAAAAATAGCGAAATGAGTTGTGAGCTGGATAGGAGTTTTCAGTAAAATTTTATGAAGGATCAGGCTCTAATTCAAAAACAACCACACAGAGACAAATATTCCTCCGTTCCGAGACAATGATCTGCAAACGGAATTTCTCATATCGGCTTTCCCATTTTAACAGAAATCCCTACGGCCGATCCGCTCTCAGGGCATTTAAAGAAAGTAGTGTATAAATTCTCTTTGAGTTTGCACACTTTATGGATTAGTTTAACTCGAATAATGACCCGAGGAACTTGCTTGTAAGCACTAAATATAAGTCTACCAACAACTTGCGAAGTCAACCAAACGATAATAAGTTTTAAGCATGGAACAACAGGTCTGCTGGAATGTAAGCGATATGAAGGCAAAATAACTTACTTTAACAGTGTGGAGCGTTATACAACAATCTAAAGAACGTACTGAATGTTTCCTCTAAAAAAAGGTGCAATGTTCTGTGATCCTTTGAAATTGCGGCTTACTGGACAATGATTGTGAAGATGAATGGCATATCTGATTTCAGTCTAATCTGTGGCTCCCTCTTGGGTGGCACTTTTAACCGTAAGGCAATGACAAATAGCTATTACGGTTTCACTGCCTTCAGTGACGATCGTTCTGTCCTATCAACCGTGCCACTTTATCTGTGGCGAAAACTTAGTTGTTAGGATATCAGAAAAGTGGAAAAGCGAATCAGTAATTCACGTCTAGAACAAAGCCTCATTACCATAGCAACGATTGCTTCGACCGAGACGAAATCCGTAGGGGCATTGACACATGAAGCTACCAGGTGTATTCACGCACATGGAGTAGGGACACAATTTCGGACTGTCCGGTTGTCCACTGCATTCGTCAATGTCTGGCAAACAAGAACAGGGAAACGGAAGAAAGGAACGGGTCAGAAAACTGTAGTTGCCAGGGCATGCAGAAAAATCAGGACAGGTGGACTGAGTCAAACAACCAATAAAAGCGGACCAGAAAAATATGCAACAATCTCGCGGTAACAGAGAATCCCATCGTTTAAGTGACGAACAAAGTGAAGCCGGAGAGACGCGACACTTACCCGATATTGACATTTCTTACGCGAATTGAAAGCGTGACCGAAACAACGGAGCTGACCATGGACAGAGTGCAGCAACGTGTGCTTGTGAACCCATCAATCACATCAGTTAATCAGGTGAAAGAGGTAACCTGTCCGGCCGTGTGTAGAAACGTATCATATTGATCGCAGTTTTGGTTTTGTCTTAAGAAAACTCGATCTTCTCCCCACAACAAAGAAAAGGGGTAAGTGGGAGTAGCTTTGGGTGGCATGCTGACTAAGCAATGAAAGCAGATGAATTGAAATGAAGGACTCGTGAAATGTTTGCTCATTTGAATCATCCGGGTCACATGACCTTTATTTTTACACACAGGGGGTGAAGTTTATTAAGGAGAACAGGCGTCTGGAGTTTGAGGTTCCCAGGACCCTCCCAAATACTTCCTCGTTGAAGAGGAAGCATGAAAAACAGGAAAATAACTGGAATGTAGACGAGGTTCGTGTTTAGTTTTTTAGTCTTGGCATTTAAAAGCAAATCCCCCGTTAAAATACATTTCCAAAAAGGCCACAACGAGGGCAACCAGAATTCCGCTATTGCCTTCTAACTAGTCGCTTTTTAACAAATCATTGTGGTCAAGAGGCTACTGTGACCTGACCGCCACAACCAAGTATACAAGTCCCATCAATCACCGGGCTAGCTCTTATCTAACCTTTGTCAATGATCATTGATTTATCGCTTATTTAGGTATGCTGGCCTTCGTAGTGACAGTGTTGGTTACCTGAATCTGATTGTAACATTCTGTGCAACCCTGCTAGCTCACCGAGGAATTCGATTTCAAAACCCTTTTTCGTTCACCTGGTGACAACTGATTACAAAGTGCCCGGAGGTTGGTTCTAATTTGATCACTGAAAATAGTCAATCTGAGATCTCAAAGAGACGAACAAGGGTTCGGAAATTACAAGCGAATCCACTGCGCAGCCGGGGGAATAAACAAACTTGGTACGTGTTCAGTTCAGCTTCGGCTGTTAATCTACGCGCTTGTGTCTGTGGGCTTTGTCGGTTGAATTGTTTTGCTAATTGCACATGTCAGCATAAATGCATGCATGCATGCGTAGGTGCGTGATGAAATGCGAATGGTTCGTGCCAACTAGGCACTACCACTTCTCCACACTTGGAATTTGGCCTGGTTACGCAGTCCGAATACATAGAGACTGTGACAGATTGCACATGATGTTGTGCAGCTCACAGAACTCCTAAAGCTCGGACGATTCTGTATCGTTATTGTGTTCACCTCATTCGATTTGTGGAGTCAAGAGCGTATGTTTTTGAATGCCAAAAATGACGGCCTCCTTTTCGTTAGTTTAGACTGATATAAACTGAGCAATCACAATTTTATCTGAAAAGTATTAACACGTACATTGTAAGTGGTCATTTTACCGATGTCCTACACAGAAGAAACTTATCCAGAAATCACGTAACACCAAAAAAACTACTATTATCTATTCAGAACCCCAAGTTCATTATTGTTACATGTGTTATCTCAGGTTGAAACAAACAGCTGGAAGATAGGACCCTCAGTCTTCATTAAGGGTTTCAGCCCAAATGTGAAATCAGAAATCATTTTACAGTTAGGTATAGTTTACATTTTAAATTCATTAAGTATCTGCATAAAATCTTCGGAGCAAGAATAAGCTATATGGTCTTCAGATTTTACCCAGGATTTATTACTGCTACTTCTGTGCATGCTCAAGGCTTGTAGCTGAGGACAGTTTGAACGAAATGGCTGTAACGTTTGACCACATCCATCATACCTCTGAAAATATCTTCAAGAATCAGTTTGGCCTAATTCGCTGCTGCAGTGTAGACTTCACCAAGCGATCTCAACGACTCTTAGCGTCTATCCTAAGAAGGACTAGCTGGAACTGGTAATGGCAACTTCTCTGACCACTCAAAACATCTGCTCAAACAGCTCTAAGTGACCTGGTTCTCGGACACAATATGCACTTAAACAAATGAATCCGTTTTACCGTAGGTTCCGGGCGAATATTCTCTCACATATAACTTATGGAGTTTGTGTGGGGAGATATTTGTGCTACGATGGCATCAGCGCACTAGTATACGATGAGAATTTCGTTATAAGAACCAACAGAATTGCAAAGGACTGGATGTGAGAGCTTGCAATGAAAACGTTCATAGCCAACGACTGTCTCATGCAGTTCGATCGAAATGCCAGATAAAGGTAATTCGCTTTACTAAGTACACTAACGTCTGCTACTAACAAACGGTGCAGAAATGCGAAAGTACTTTTGTCTTTTAGGACGAGGAGAACTCTCAACCAACTATCAAGACTGTGTGCCCTCCGATCAAGTGTTGTGTCAGATTTTCTCTCTTTTGCGAATCGTTTTAGAATTCAGTGACCCAGTTTCAAAAGAAAGAATGCTTTGTAGGTTCGGAACTGACAGATTAAATATTGAATCCACTTACACTCGCCCTTTCAAGAAGGCCGTCTCCACTAAACGACTGGACCGCTACCTACTGTTCCGCGTTCCTCATCAAACCGGATTTACACGGGGATGCAGTTCAAAGGACCGGCTACAAGTGGTTCCACTCACTAAGTGGTCCTTGTGGGGGCCAACGAGTTCAGAGGATGATAAATGTCCATAGATTTTATAGAAAAACCAGCTGTCTACGACTTTCTATAAGTTAATTTACTCTCACTCTTTCTAAGATTGAAAATTTAGCCGCGCGATGCTTCGTCAACAATATTCTGGTGGGTCACTTGCTTTCGCAGTTCTTTTGGAGTCGCATTCCAAAATATGGCTTGTAAAATGTTAAGCAAATAGAATTAGGAGAGCTGGAACTCTTGAAATAGCGTTTCTAATTCGTGAGTACACAAAAAGATGAAAACGGGTGAAAACAGTTTTATGTTGTCTCCGGTTCATGTGATTTACAATGTCTGAACCTATCCATTTTTAATTTCATCTAAATTAGGCGCACAGATCCCTTTGATGTATTGGACAATCACGGATATGAGTGGGGTCTTGATAAACAATCACAGCTGAATATATCTGGTTTGGATGACCGGACCAAAATATCAAGGCACATGACCTCTTAAACAGCAATTTGGTCATCTTGAAATATATTTCCCAAGTGAACCTTATATCCAGTAGTCAGTTAAGTGAGCATGAAATTATGCTTACTGAAATTATGCAAAAAAG